TGAAGCAGACTTCATCCGTTAAATAAATTCACTTTTGATCAGCTGGTTAAATTATAGATTTTGTTTTTATCGTAAAAATTAAACACTGTGAATGTTTTATTTTGAAATGATTAGACCGGAAGTTACAGCGTACTGCTGCGTTTATTTTTCCATGTAGCTAAAGTCTTTAACCTACTGGATATTTTTAAACTAAACCTTACAGTTTTCGAGGGAGGAAGGGCAGAGGACGTTGTTTGCTCAACACGGTACAGTTTATATATATATATATATATATATAAAAAAAAAACTACCGAAACTTTTGTTGTCAAAATGGTCTTTAGAGTCATCCGCGATGTTAGCAACAGCTAACTCCGCTAGCTGCGCTAGTCGATACAAATCGATTTAATCAAATTTTAAAACCCCAATATTTTATTCTGTGGTTTTACATCAAGTACAGTGTGTTTGCCAGTGGAGTGTAACGATTTTGTTGCAAAATTACTGTTCTTTTACAGCGAATTAGCCAGATTAGCCAGATGGACAAGGTTTAGCTTGCTGCTCGCTGTTGCTAGGCAACGTGAGAGCTCACTCCTGATTGGCTGACGTAAAGCCTGTAATTACATTAGAGAGCAGATTCACGCCTGGTTCTTCACAACCCTAATTACTCACGTCTTAGGTTAACTTTTATGTAAGCAGGATGAGCAATCATAAATTAACTCAAAAGTATTTTCTCTGTACGTTTCGTTTTGTTAAATCAGGGATTTTAAGGAGGAAGCACCATGATGGTCCCCATCTTCACCCTAAAGCTGAACCACAAGATTAACCCTCGCATGGTGGCTGTAGGGAAATATGATGGGATTCACCCATGTCTTACTGCAGCTACTCAAGCTGGAAAGGTGAGGCATAAACTATTAATGTTATTGATCCAGTAGAAAGATGATTATGCTGCACAATTGAAAACTTATATTTGGATGTGTCCCCCCCCCCCCCCCCCCCCAATAAATGTGTTGCAATTACATAAATATTTTCGAATTGTCTTTATTAACGTTGAATAGTGGAAAAAAGGTTCTTCTAAAATATATGGGATGAATTTTTAGGGTAGTCCACAAAATAAAACGCAACCCAAAAGTAAATAAGTAATACTAATTTTCTTCTGGAGTTTCTTTTAGTGCAGAATTTATTTTTCACCTGAACACCAACTAACACAGCAGGGAAAAAGAACAAGAGTGTACACCCCTTTTCAGTTCCAGTGTTTTACATATGATGAAATTTAAAACAAATTTACTAAGAGATGTCCATCAATCCAATTTCTGCCATTTGTTTGTTCGTTTCCTACTGGAACTGCTAAGTCAGCAAGTCCAGGAGGGAAACCCAGACATCCCATGGTCCAGGGACACTCCTCAGCTCCTCCTGGGTCTGCCTTGAGGTCTTCTCCCAGTGGGCTGTGCCTGGAAAGCCTCCATTGGAAGATCCTGAACCAGAACTGTAAACCTCATCAGCTGACTGATTTTGATGACGAGAAGCAGCAGATCTCTGAATCCCCACCACCACCATCTGCTGATTCATTCTTCCATCCCAGAACAACACACCAGTGTTGTCTGAAGTCTTCCTCTTGAGAAAAGAAAAGCATAGTCATCTTTATTCTCAGTTTGACTCGTATACAATGAGACAGAAAGCCTTCCTGCTTTGATGCATCTGCAACATCTCTTTTAAAAATTAGTACAAATAAAACAACAATCACTAAGTGATGCATAAAGTTTAATAAAAAGAGTTTCATTAATCTATCCAATTTAAACAAAGCTTATTCTGTAAAAAGCAGCTACAGGGACTGAAAATAAGTTCAAAGAAAATCTCGAGAACTTTTGATCAGAACTACTTTAAAATATTACAAAGAAGTCTGGCTGCTTGGAAGGAAAGCATTAGTCAGGGTGAGTTAACACTTACTTCTCCTCTGCACATTAGCAGTACCGTCTCTTTTCCTTTTTATTAACAGGTGTTCATCCACAACCCTCACACTCGCGCTCAGAGACCCGGCGCTCATCGACTGAGCCAAAGCACCCAGGACTCCGACGTCTCCCTCCTCAACATCAACCAGGCTGTGACCTGTTTGACTGCAGGGGTGCTTGGACCAAACACCGCCGGGGACACGCTGTTAGTGGGCTCTCAGACCAACCTGCTGGCCTATGACGTCCATGACAACGCAGACATATTTTACAGAGAGGTAACTGGACGAGAAAGTAGCCAAAATCTGGCACAATGTTTGCTTTTTCATGTATTCCTATCTTTATTCAAATACATTTGACAGTTGACAAATTGAAGCCGGTTAACAATTCAAAGTTTTTGCTGTGTTTTTGGGTTTAGGTGACAGATGGAGCGAATGCCATCGTGTTGGGAAAACTCGGTGACATCCCTTCTCCTCTTGCTATCATCGGGGGGAACTGTGCCTTGCAAGGCTTCAACTACGAAGGAAACGACCAGTTCTGGACAGTAAGATGCTCTTAGGTCAAAACAAAGTGTAATTTTATATAAATAGATTTAGTTTTTAACTATTAGGAGGCAAAAACGTCTGACGTACCTTTTCCTCAGGTAACTGGAGATAATGTGAGGTCTCTGGTGCTGTGTGATTTCACTGGGGATGGAAAAAATGAGGTAAGTCTGAGACACTATCTGTTGTAGTCCTTTGTTTCCTAGCTGAGTTCTACTTCAGGAATTCAAGGTTCTTTATTTGTCATACGCACCACATGTGATACACGAGGTGGAACGAAATTGTGTACACAGGGTCCCAGTTACATCCAACAAAAGTATAAGATGTAAAAGAAAAACAGTAATAAGATCTAAGATATGAACTAAGAAAAATGTTCACTAAAAATACACTAAGCACCAGTAGCATAAAAACAATATGATGAACAGCAGCACGAACATGAGTCTGTGTGAGCAGATGAGTACGAATGAACAGCAGCATGAAACAAATCAGCAGCAACATGATGTGATTTTTCACAGTGATTGTCCTGGTTAGAGTCAGGGTAGAAGCTCTTCCTCAGTCTAGTGGTTCTACACTTAATGCTCCTCAACCTCCTGCCTGAGGGGAGCGGGGCAAAAAGTGTGTGTGCTGGGTGAGTGTGGTCCTTCATGATGCAGGTGGCCCTCTTCCTGCATCTGGAGGTATAGATGTCTGTGATGGTGGAGAGGCTAACTCCAACAGACTTCCGTGCAGCCTTCACCACTCTCTGCAAAGCTTTTCAGGGATGGAAAGATGAACTGGAGCTAACTTTAAACATTAAAGATGGGCTAAAGGCCTGGGAATGCCCTGGAGTCCTCCCAGAAGAGCTGGAAGAAGTGGCTGTGAAAAGAGATGTCTGGACCCCCCGAACAAGCTGCGGCTACGCGGTTGCTTTTTTCACACCCAGTTTTTGAAAACCACAGCCTATTTTCATGCGTTTCATGTGCAATCTGCTGGAGAACTCTTTAGAAATAAAGAGAGGCAGATTTAGACCAGATTTCAATCATTATTTATCATCAGTGCGGCTTTTAGACCTGGACATTTTCCTTGGATGTTTTCTGTCAGAAGGAGATCAGATCTGTTGTTTAATTTACTTCATCTGTTGTCTATCAGAGTCAAGATGAAGAGGCCAACTGGACAAAAGAGTCAGATGTTTATTTTTTACACTTTTTATGAAAAAACAAAAATACTTTTGTGTTTTGATGTTATATTTAAAAAGTCAAATTTGTGGTTAAAAGGACCGTCATGTATTCAGCTGCATTAGAAAATGAACTCTGTTAAACTAATATTTAGTCAGACAGCATCAACTGATTATTTATTTCAAAGTGTACTGTTCCCTGTGTTTAAACTGGAGAGAAACAGACAAGTTTTCTGTAAAACTCCTAATTTGTTGTTGTGTTTGGCAGCTGCTGGTGGGATCTGAGGACTTTGACATCAGGGTCTTCAGAGAGGATGAGCTGGTGTCAGAGATGACTGAAAATGAGGTAATCAGAGAGTTTTGTGATGAGGTCAAAAAAACTGTTTGATGTTTTATAAAGGATAAATATGTCATTATTTTGTACACTGTAGTCATTTCCTGGTAGAGGAGACGTTGCTGATTCCTGTTGCGTGCTGTACAGATTCAGGTCTAAATGAGTTTTTGTTCCGTCTCTCCTCAGACCGTGACATCGTTGTGTCACATGCACGGTAGCAGGTTTGGCTACGCTCTGGCTAACGGTACGGTTGGAGTCTACGACCGTACCGCTCGCTACTGGAGGATCAAGGTGCCATGAATTTATTAATCATCTGGAATCTGTTCACTTGCTTTTTGTTTGTGCAGTTTTGATTAATCACTTCACAGAAAGCTGTTCTGATGTTTTCAGTCTAAGAACCACGCCATGAGCATCCACGCCTTTGACCTGAACGCTGACGGAGTGGCGGAGCTCATCACCGGCTGGTCCAACGGGAAGGTCCGCGCTCGTCTCAACGGGCTTCTTAATTCAAAACGTATCAGAACTTTTGACAGCTTTACTTGGCTTCTTTCAGATCGATGCACGAAGCGACCGCACCGGCGAGGTCATCTTCAAAGACAACTTCTCCTCCTCTGTAGCTGGAGTGGTGGAGGGAGACTACAGGTTGGACGGGCAGAAACAGCTCATCTGTGCCTCCACAGAGGGGGAGGGTGGGTTCTGTTCACCTACAGCTTTACCTGTGGACGCTCGCACACCACGCCTCAACAAACCTCCCCTGTGTCTTACAGTACGAGGTTACCTGCCTGCCAGCAAGGACCTGAAGGGGAATCTGATGGACTCCAGCGCCGAGCAGGACCTGGTCCGAGAGCTCAGCCAGCGCCGACAGAACCTGTTGCTCGAGCTTCGGAACTATGAAGAGAACGCAAAGGTGAACAGATTTATTCTGCCAGAATCACCGATGATGAATTCTGACATTTACTGTCAAACACAAGACGTCTGAGGTTACAGAGAAACGTTGATCAGCTTCAAATAGAGAAGTGATTTAATGCAGAAAATACTAAATTAAACCTGAAATCATCTTGTCAAATTGTGAAAAAATGCTGTGAAAATCTCTAACAAGCTTCTTATTTTTGAATATTTTTATTTTTTCTCGGAAATCTTTTCCTCTTTTTTTCTGTTGGAAGGAAAAGCAGAGCAATAAGCTGCTGTTTTTCTAATTGTAGCTTTTAGCTGCTGTTTTTCTAGTTGTAGGTTTTAGCTGTTGTTTTTCTAGTTGTAGGTTTTAGCTGTTGTTTTTCTAGTTGTAGGTTTTAGCTGCTGTTTTTCTAATTGTAGCTTTTAGCTGCTGTTTTTCTAATTGTAGCTTTTAGCTGCTGTTTTGCTAGTTTTAGCTCCGTGTTGTCACAGAAAATCTAGTTTTTTTTTTCTCGGCTGTTGAAGCTAACGTTTACAGAACCAGTGTTTGGTTTCAGGGCGTTCCTCAGTCCAACGGTGGGATGGGGGTCATCCCGGCCAACACGCAGCTGCAGACTGCATTGTCAGTCAGGCCCGCTACAGAAGCCCAGAAGGCTCATGTAGAGCTCAGCATTTCAACACCCAATGGTACGATTTCCCAGCATGCTTTGCTCTGATGCCCTCCAGCTGGTGAATGCGTCCCTGAAAGTCTTTTTTTTTATCCTCTGAAGAAACCATCATCCGTGCGGTGCTCATCTTTGCTGAGGGAATATTTGAGGGGGAGAGTCACGTTGTCCACCCCAGTGTCCAGAACCTGTCGGGCTGTGTCCGAGTCCCCATCGTCCCTCCTAAAGACATCCCAGTGGATCTGCACATCAAAGCCTTTGTTGGAGGCAAAACGTGGTGGGATATTTTTTATCACTATGTAATCGAGTTGAAACAAATGTTGAGATGGATTCTGAAATGTTTTCTGTCATTCTGCACCTCCTGCTTCAGCACGCAGTTCCACGTGTTTGAAATCACACGCCAGCTGCCTCGCTTCTCCATGTACGAGCTCACAGACGACTCCTCCACTCCTCTGCCCACAGGAAGGGTTACCTTCAGCGTCAACGACCGGCCGCAGAGGGTGGGTCCTCACAGCAAGAGAAGTGACATGTTCCTAACCCGCTTCACTCCATGATCCGGGTTCTGTGTGTTCGTAGGTGGTGATGTGGCTGAACCAGAACTTCCTGCTTCCAGAAGGAGTGGAGAGTCCAAACGTCACCTTCAGCTCACTCAGAGGAAGTGGACTTATATCCTTTAACATGGCCGCTAACGGACAGGTAAACAACAACACACTTCAAAGAGAGGGACTCTTCGTTGTGTCATTTTTACTTTTTGTTTTACCGCTACTTCTTTAGCTGTTCATTTATCAAAACGTTCGGCTCATTCAGGAGCTGGTTAAAGTAACTTTAAACTTTTCAAAATACTCATAGATATTCTCATGGTAGAAATACATAAACGTTCTTTAATTTCTTCATAAAATTGTCCTGTTTTTGGCTCTGTTGGTCTTTTTTATGCTACTTTTAGCTTTTAGCTAGACTTTGCAGCTTTTAGTTTTTAGCATTCATTGATTTCCTCAGAAAATCTGATTTCTCTGGATTTCATTTACATTTTTATTACTTTTGTAGAAGCTATTTTACTCGATGTTACTGTGGCTTCAGAGGGATCTTGTTGCCAACATTAAAACATTTTGTTTTTCATTTTATTCAGCCAAGAAAACAAATCATTTGATCACAGCACTAACAGCGTTTTCCCGAGGCTTCTGTCCGAGGGGCTGGAGTGTCCACAAGAGAAAAATAATTCCAGTTTTTCAAACATTTTTCAGTCAGGTCATCTGGACAGTTTCTTTTTTTGTGCTGAAACGTTTCGCCTTCGATCAGGTCCAGATGACCTGACTGAAAAATGTTGGATTGTTGAGCATAGACTTTGTTGTTTTAATTCCAGTTTATGTTTTAATAGTTTTAAAACTTTGATGATTTGTTTACAGAGTGTGCAACTTTTCTCACTGCAGCATATTCTTCAGGACTTCTCAAGAACTTTTTCAAAACTTCTTGTTTTAGTTTGGATTTGATCCGGCGACCTCACTGAGAGGCGGCAGCTCTACCAACTGAGAAATGCTCAAATATGAAAAATAAATTTGTTTTTTTTATATATTATAAAATATAATTTTTATATTCTGCTGTGACTTGACACTATATAAATAAACTGAATTGAATTTGGGGGGTGGGGGTCTGATAAACACAGTAAGCTGAAGCAACCTCAGGCTGTAAGAACCTTTTAAGTTGTTCCAGTTTAAAAACGACTGTTTGATTCCTCTCCATTCGTCCCGTCAGATCGTCCTGAGAACTGATGACATGGATCTAGCAGGAGACCTGGTCCAGTCCCTGGCCTCCTTCCTGGCCATAGAGGACCTGTCAGCAGAAGCAGATTTCCCTGCGTACTTCGAGGAGCTCCGCAGCACCCTCACTGAGGTTTTTACAGCCAGCTGCTCACACCACAAAAATAAATCAAAGCCAAATATTTATTGTTCATTAATCAGAATAAGCGTCTGGTTTTAGTTCTCTGAAGGTAAGTTAGGAGATCACTGTCACTTCCAGCTTTAATAAAGCTTGTTTTAATTTTTTTTTATCCTCATTTAGATCTAATTCCTTCAAAAAAAGAGAACCAGCAGGTCTTTTTTAATTCTGCAGCTGAGCAGAACCCCTCTTTAATAAACCCGAGCGTTCCCTGTTGGCTTCAGTCCAGGTGTCTGCTGTGAAATCATCTGTTTTAGTTTAGTTTTAATGTTTTAATCTAGTTAATTTAGTCTAATTAAAGGTTTCTGGTGATCTCAACACTAGTGGAAGGACAGCTGTGATTGAATAGTTTTAATTCATGAAACGCATCAATGTTTTTATTTCTATGATGCGTTTGAGTTGAGTCGTAAATCTCTGCGTCGCAGGTGGACGACTTCCACTCCGTCCATCAGAAGCTAACTGCAGAAATGGCCGACCACTCCAACTACATCAGGAACATGTTGGTTCAAGCAGAGGACGCCCGCCTGATGTGCGACATGTGAGTTGAGCCCGCACAAAGGAGAACGGGCGGGTTCTGGTCCAGCTGACACGTTTCTGCTGTCCTCTGCAGGGCCACCATGAAGAAGCGGTACCGGGAGCTGTACGATCTGAACCGGGACCTCATCAACGAGTACAAGATCCGCTCCAATAACCACAACGCCCTTCTGGTCCGGCTGAAGTCCGTGAACCAGGCCATCCAGAGAGCGGGCCGACTGCGAGGTCCGCCTGAGTCAGAACCTGACTAAAACCACAAAATTACTTTCTTCTTCTTCTTCTGTTCGTTCGTTTTAACTTGTGCAGGTTTTCAGCTGATCAACAAAAAGGTCCTAAAGTGTCCGTTCGTCTCTGATTGGTCCAAAGTGTAGATCGATAAAGTTTTGAAGGTCTCTGAGAAGTTGCTCCAAGTCACCACAGAACTCCGATTCATCCAGACTTTACTCTTTAACTTTTGTTTCATTTATTTTAACCCTAAATTTAGATTTACAAAGACTTTTCTGAAATGAACAAGTGTTTAAAATATTCTAAATAAATAAAAGTAATTTACAGTAGTTTAAATTAGGCACAATAAAACATTTAAACTAATTTAGTGAATCAATATAATTTTAATTTTTTCATCTAAAAAACAAGAAGTAAAACTAGAGAGAGGCCAGTTAAAACACAGAGAATGATTATTGCTGTAACCTGCTGAACAAGCTAAAGCTTAAATCAGCAGCTGAGACGTAGAAGGAAGAAGATGAAGAAAAAGAAGCTGAACGAGAAAAGAGCAGCTGAAAGAGCAGAAAAAAGCTAAAATGTTCTTGATCTGTGAGACAGTTCTTAACTTGGAGCAACTTGAAGTCGTGGTGACCTTTGACCCCAGGATCTTAACATGACTGATCACCTTTGACCCTCGAGCTCGTACAACAACTGTCCAAAGACTGATGGACAGCTTTAGTTAGCGTTGGCAGCCATCTTTAATTTTTTTATTCACCTTCAGTGTGTGTGTTGGTGATCGCTTTCGGCTGCTAACACAAGATTTTAGCCAAATTTGTCTAAAACTGACTTAATCAAAGCTAGAAGAAACTAAAAGGAACACAGAAAAGCTTATAGTAAGGAAAAATAACTACAGGTACAGTAGTTGAAAACAGTTCAAATTATTATAAAGAAACTAAAGCTAGCAGTAATGAGCAAAAAAGCTGACATTAGCAGAAAGAAGCTGAAATTAGCAGAAAGAAGCTGACATTAGCAGTAAAATATTATAAATGCTCAAAGTGTTTGAAGGACGTGAAGAAAGCTCCGTTCATTTTCACTGAGAAGGCTAAACGTTTCACAAAGTAAAAATGTCAGAAATGCCAAACGTCAGAGCAGGAAGGTCCTGAAGGAGCCGAACATTTTGAGGCATGAATTGTTGAAGTGGAACAAAAACTGCAGAACGAGTTTCGTTCTGACAAACATATGGAGGAACAAACAGAGATCTGTATGTTCCTCCATATGTTTCGTGGTGTGCTGGGATCAATAATCGACTTTCGAATGTTTTGTTAGAGTTCCTGCTCCTGCCGGCTCTCTTAACTTTGGACTTTCTGATGTTTGTCCTTCAGTGGGGAAGCCGAAGAACCAGGTGATCTCCGCCTGTCGGGACGCCATCAAGAGCAACAACGTCAACACCCTGTTCAGGATCATGAGGGCCGGAGCTGCTTCCTCTTGAGGCTGAGAGGAGGAGGAGTCTCGATGGGGCGGAGCTAAGGGGAGACGGACGATGAGTCCTCCATCTGAAGAACCTGCAGGAGGTTTCTGGACTCTGGAACGAGGCCTTAGCCTTCAGCTACAAGCTGACAGCAACATTTAGCTCCAAGAAACAAACCTCTGATGTTCTGGTACTGTGGGCTCAGTTCACCCAGAGCCAGACTGACAGCATCTGGATTCATCAGCTGGACCAGAACCAAACAGCTGTTCCAGACTCTTTCCAACGACCTGGATCCAACTGTGATGAGTTGCGTTGGTTCTGACGGGTCAGACGTTCGTCACGTGTTTGTAGCCAAAGACAAAGATGTAAACCGATGAGTTGAACTTGTTTTAGCTGATTGTGGGATCAAAGTTTTTTAAATTAAAGTTTTAATTTAATTTAACTTTACTTTGATGTGTTTCTTTAAAAGAGTCCGCTGTTCTGTTAGGTTCTGGTGGGACCTTCATCCTGGAAGAAGCTGAAGCTCCACTGGGATTCTGTTTATTGCATTTATGACTCAATGCAATAAAATAAAACCAATTGATTTATTTACGTAATGACTTTATTCACTGGCTGTCCGGCCCCCGAGCTGCTGGCTTTCAGAAACTGTGGCCCCCTGAGCAGTTTATTTGAGTAGTCCCGGTCTAGATAAATCTTTGTGGATTAAAAATATCCTCTGTTTTCATACTTGGTATGTCTCATTTTTAGCAGATGCATAATATTTGTATTTTCCAAATGATAAAGTATTTAGAATGTCACTGATATTTATTTTTTCTCTTTGTGCCTCGATTGCCGAGGTGGCTGCCTTGAGCTGTGGCCCCAAGGTTGTCGGCGCTAGTTGTGGTGGCCATCCTCGAACTTGTTGGTGGACACCACGGGTTAGAGAGGCTGTCAAGCTGAAGGAGGAGTCCTATCGGTCCTTGTTGGCCAGTGGGACTCCGGAGGCAGCTGAGGAGTACTGGAGGACCAAACGGTCCGCAGCCTTGGATGTTGCTGAGGCAAAAGCTTGGATGTGGGAGAAGTTTGGGAGACCTTGGATATGGACACTTGGTTGGCTCCGAGGAGATTCTGGCAAACCATCAGGTGGCTGAGGAGGGGAAAGCAGCACTTTACTAACACTGTTCAGTGAAGGTGGGGTGCTGTTGACCTCAACCAGTGATGTCATCGAGAGCTGGAAAGAATACTTCTTGGACCATCTCAATCCCACCAGCGCATCTTCCATGGTGGAAGTGGAGTTGGGGGACTTTGTGGATGGTACGTCCATAACTGACTGAGGTCGCCGAGGTAGTTAAAAAGCTCTGAGGCGGCAGGGCTCCAAGGGTGGATGAGATCCTCCCTGATTTTCTTAAGGCTCTGGATGTTGTGGGGCTGTCTTGGTTGACACGCCTTTGCAACGTCGCAGGGACATCTGGGGCAGTGCCACTGGATTGGCAGACTGGGGTGGTGGTTCCCCTCTTCAAAAAGGGGGACCGGAGGGTGTGCTCCAATTACAAGAGCATTACTCTCCTTACCCTCCCTGGTAAGGTCTATTCAGGGGTACTGGAGAAGCGAGTCAGATCATTGGTTGAACCTCAGATACAGGAGGAACAATGTGGGTTCCGTTCTGGCAGTGGAACACTGCATCAGCTCTTTACCCTCACTAGGGTCCTCTAGGGGTCATGGGAGTTTGTTCATTCAGTCTGTCTGCGTTTTGTAGACTTGAAAGCTTTCGACCATGTTCCATGAGGTACACTGTGTGGGCGACAGCTCCGTGAGTATGGGACTGGGGGCGTACAAGCGGTGCGAGAGTTTGGTTCGCATTGCCAGCAGTAAGCCAGACCCCTTCAGGGTGGGAGTTGGACTCCGCCAGGGCTGCTCGTTGTCACAGATTCTGTTCATAACTTTTATGGAGGTGCAGTCAGGGGGTGGAGGGATTCTGGTTCGGTGGCCTCAGCATTCCGTCTCTGCTCGTTGCAGATGATGTGGTCCCGTTGGCATCATTGTGCCGTGATCTCCAGCTCTCACTGGAGCGGTTCGCCTCCGAGTGCGAAGCGGCTGAGATGAGAATCAGCACCTCCAAATCTGAGGCCATGGTCCTCTGTCGGAAAAGGGTGGACTGCTCTCTTCAGGTCGAGGGTGAGGTTCTGCCTCAAGTGGAACAGTTCAGTATCTTGGGGTTTTGTTCACGAGTGAGGGAAGAATGGAGCGTGAGACTGGTGCAGCATCTGCAGTATTGTGGACTCTGTGCCGGTCCGTTGTGGTGAAGAGGGAGCTGAGCTGCAAGACAAAGCTCTCTGTTTACTGATCAGTCTACGTTCCTACCCTCACCCATGGTCACGAGCTCTGGGTAGTGAAAGAGTGAGATCACGGACACAGGTGGTTGAAATGAGTTTCCTCCTCAGGGTACCTGGACTAGTCCTTAGAGATAGGGTGAGAAGTTCAGTTATCCAGAGAGACTCGGAGTAGAACCGCTGCTCCTCAACATCGAGAGGAGCCAGTTGAGGTGGTACGTGCATGTCAGACTGGGAGGAGACCCCTGGAAAGATCCAGGACACGTTGGAGAGACTGTCTCTCAAACAGTCTGAGGACACCTTTGAGTCCTGGAGGGAGGAGGTGGCTGTGGACAGAGACGTCTTTTCCTCCATGTCTCCGAGACCTGAGTCCAAAACCGAAGGGTGGACGAATATTTTCTCATCAGTTCTGAATGAAAAACTCATGAAGGGGAAGAAAAAACGTCCAGTTTTTGGATGAGGGGCGAAACGTTTCTTTTTTAACAAAAAAACGAAGTC